TTAATTAGGAGTTACATAACCGATAGAAAGCAATGTGTATCAATAAACAGACATTACTCTTCGTTAAAACCAATTGAGCAGGGTGTGCCTCAGGGCAGCATACTAGGCCCCCTTTTATTTGTTATATAAAAGGCCCAAGGAACCGGCAGGTGACAGCTGAGATGAACGAACCAAGATGATGATGCTACGTGACAACAATAAGGATGCATGAGCAACACATGATAATGATGATAATGTACACATGAAGAGAATTGGTATACTAAATGCCCACGCTGATTCCCCCCACGTGAAAGCGGCCAGCCTGGCCGCGGCAAGTCAAGGGGACAAAGAACGTCGCATGAAGGGCTTCATACGGGAGACATGAGCGACCCCATTAGTTCAATGACGGCGATCTGCTGGGGCTACAAGTGGCGTCACGCGATAATTCACTGGTGAAGTTTCTTCAAGAACTGTGTACGGCCAGATAAATCGTGGCTGGAATTTCTCGCACAAACCAGGTTTGCGAATAGGCGTCAAAAGGAGCACTTCGTCTCCAGGTTGAAAGGATACAGCACAATGCGATTCATCATAAAGCAGCCTTCTGTCTTGCTGTCGGGCTCCAGTTTTTATACGAGCATGTTGGGGGCTCTCTGCGAGCCGTAGAACGTATTTCTCTGAAGAGGATGGAGATGAATCCAGATGGCAGGTAAAGAAAGAGGCGTCCAGGGAAAAAGTAGGGGAGCATCCATAAACTAGGTAAAATGGTGAGTAGTCGGTTGTCCGCTGAATAGACGTATTGTAGGTGAAAGTGACGAATGGTAGAACTACATCCCAGTTCTTGTGGTCTGGTTGAATGTAGGCGGCGATCATGTGAGCAAGAGTGCGGTGGAATCGCTCAGTGAGGCCGTTATTTTGGGGATGATTACTAGAAGCAGTCTTGTGAGTTGTGCCAGAGGCGCGAAGAAGTTGGTTCACTAGTTGTGAAAGGAACGCCCTTCCTCAGTCACTGAGCAATACACGTGGAGCACCATGACGCAGTATAATGACTCTGAGGGTTAAATCGGCAATTTTAGAAGCTGAACCGGTAGTGATGGATGCGGTCTCGGCGTAGCACGTCAAATGGTCAACGGCTGTTATTATCCATCGGTTTCCAGCAGCACTGACTGGAAGGGGGCCATAAAGATCGATGCCTACAACTTCAAATGGTGTAGCTGGGCCCGGAAGAGGCTGTAGTGTACCGGCTGGAGTAGATGTGGGTAGTTTTCTACAATGGCAGGTAGTGCAGGACCCAACGTACCGAGCAACACTAGTGGTAATACCTGGCCAATAAAACCGACTTCGAAGGCGGTCGTAGGTTTTGTGGTAACCAAGGTCGTAGGTCGTAGGTAACCAAGGTGACCAGCCGTCGAATGGTCACGAAGTGCTCTGAGGACTTCGGACTGAAGCGATCGGGGTAGAACGGGAACCCAGCGCTGACCGTCAGGATGGTAAATTTTGCGGTACAGCACCGAGTTTTCCAGCTTAAACTGCGAGAGTTGGCGAAGGAGCCTCGCATTAGGTGGACGGGAACTGCCAGTGAGGTAGCCTATAATACGTCGACAGTATGGGTAAGCCAGCTGCCGAGAAGAAAAATTGTGCGGGTCGTCCCAAGGCAGCTGGTCCATAGAGGCGAGAGAGGAAACCGCCGTAGACGTGGGCTACGAGGGTGTGTTGTGCAAAGTGATTGCGGAAACGCTGAGGGGAGGCGCTGGTAGTGGGCAGTGAGAAAGAGCATCGGCGTCGCTATGCTTTCTGCCACACTTGTATACGATGTCAAAATTATACTCTTGTAGGCGTAGAATCCAGCGGCCGAGGCGTCCCGACAAGTTCTTGAGTGTCGAAAGCCAACAAAAAGCGTGGTGGTCGGTCACAATGGTGAAATGGCGGCCGTGAAGATAGGGACGAATTTTCTGCCCTGACCAAACGATGGCGAGGCACTCCTCTCAATGATCGTGTAGTTCCTCTCGGCTGCGGAGAGGACGCGGCTGGCGTACGCAACGACTTGCTCTCGCGAAGAGTTGTCGCGCTGGAGGAGCACGACTTCTAAACCGTGGCCGCTAGCGTCTGTATGAAGGAAGGTCGGTGCACCATCGTGAAAATGAGAAAGTACAGAATCGGTCGTGAGGGCACTCTTGAACCTGTCGAAAGCCGATTCACATTCCTGAGACCACTTGATCTGGAATGGGCGTACCAGAAGCAAGTAGCTCATGGAGTAGTGCGGCTATGGAGGCAAAGTTTTGTATGGACCGCCGAAAGGAAGAGGCGAGACCAAGGAAACTTCGCAGCTCTTCGGCTTGTCAGGGCGAGGGAAGCGAAGCACCACAGCAGTTTTCTCGGGGTCTGGACGAATTCCGTCCTTGCTCACAACATGACCGAGGACCTTGATAGATCTGCTGGCGAAATGGCACTCATTGGTGTTAATTTGAAGATCAGCGCCCACAAGGGAAGTCAGGACCTCGTCCAAGCGTTGCAGATGTTGAGGAAACGTGGATGAAAAGACAACAATGTCATCGAGGTAACATAGGCAAGTCTTCCATTTCAGGCCACGCAGCACGGCGTCAATCAAGCGCTCTAAAGTTTCGAGCGCATTGCATAGACCAAACGGCATAACCTTGAATTCGTATAGGCTGTCCGTGGTTGCAAACGCAGTTTTTTCCTTGTTCTTTGTGCATGAGGATTCGCCATTAGCCGAAACGCAAGTCGAGGCTTGAAAAGAATTCAGCACCTTGTAAGGAATCGAGGGCGTCGTCGATACGTGGCATGGGATATAGGTCCTTCCTAGTGATCTTATTTAGTGCTCGGTAATCGACGCAAAATTGTACGGAACCATCTTTTTTACGCACCAGAACCACTGGAGACGACACAGGACTGTTTGATGGTCGGATTATCTCCCGTTGCAGCATATCGTCTACATTTTCCTCAATGATCTTTCGTTCGGCTAGGGAGACGCAGTACGGACGACGATGCATAATAGTTTTCTTCGTTCAGCGAACTAGGAGCGCAGAGAAAACACAAAGGACGAAGCGAGGAACCACACAACACGAGCGCTCAACTAACAACTGATTTATTTTCCACATCGGAAGGACTTATATAAACACAAAATGCGCATGTCAAAAAAAAAGATTATGACAAAATCAAGGGCAGCATGCGAAGCGTGTAATCAAGGCACATGTCTAAGGGTTATCTAGGTAGCTGAATTCACAGTCAAGTAGTGAGAGGGAAGGATGACTTATACATTGGTCCGTATTCCTGGAAATGTGATAGGCTTCAGAAATTTCACGCGTAGTTTGATGAGGATGCCGGAACAGAACAATTGTATTCTCAAACAGAGGTTGGCACTTGCACGAAACGCAATGTGACGCTAAATGGGAGTAAGGTGTACTTTTCAACGAGCTTCTGTGTTCCCTGAGACGCACGTTCACACATCGGCCGGTCTGGTCAATGTACATCCGTCCGCAAGAAAGGGGTATCTTATATACTACTCCGGTGATGCACTTAACAAACTTAGTTACGTGCTTCTGGAGGCATCCTCTACCTTTAGATGCATTATGTGCCCTCCTGTGCACCATTGAACATATACTGGCCAATTTATTGGGTGCCGAGAAAACCACGCGCACACCGAACCAGTTTCCCACGCTTTTTAACCCATGGGCCATTTTATGAATGTAGGGGATTACTGCCGCGCGCTTCTTATTCCCTTCCTTGTTCTCTGAAGAAGTACATGTGCGTTTTTCATTATTTTTGACCGTACGCAAGAGCTTTTCATAGACTGAGGCTATTACGTAGGAAGGGTATCCCGCACCTATCAGCCGTTCCAACTGTGCTACGAAACCACTTTGCAAGGTATGCAGGCAACATTTTCCGAGGGCTGAACGTAAGCATGACATTACGATTCCGCGTTTAACAAGCTTGGAATGTCCGGAAGAGTAGTCTAGAACGGGTTTTGCAGAACGAGGATTATATCGCCAGCAAAGGTGCTTATCACCAAAAAACAGGGAAAGGTCTAGGAACTGCAATTTGTTATCTTTTGGAAGCTCGGAGGTGAACCGGAGGCCCATGCCTTCCTTCTCGAAGCATGCCTTCATACTTTCAACGTCCACTGCTGAACACTTCTTGATGATAATCAGATAATCGTCAACATAACGGAATACTTTTGTGCCAGGTTGAAGTTTAGTGCTTAAGGCTGCATCCACCTTCCCAAGAAAGATTTGGCTTAAAACAGGGGCCACACTTGAACCTATACACACACCTGATTTTTGCATGTACAGGTTCCCAAGCCATACGACGAAGGTGGACTTCAAATAGAACGTCAAAATTTCTAGAAAAGACTGAGTCGAAATTCCCGTGCTATTCCTGAACGATATCTCATCATTGTCTTCCACAATGCACTGCTCTACGCTGTTTAACAGTTGATCATGCGGCAAAGAATAATATAAGTCGACTACATCAAGACTAAAAGCTGTAACACCGGAGCATTCACATGTGTTGAGGTATTCAACCACGACACCAGAGTTATTTGCGTGAAAAGGGTCATTTACGCGCAACGCAGAAAGATGTGCTTGCAGATACTGAAATACAACCAACTGCCACGTATCCCTTTCTGAAACAATCGCGCGCAGCGGCATTTCCGGTTTGTGTGTTTTAATGGAGTAAAAAAGTTCTAGCTCTACACCTTTCGCCTTTTCTACTGAAGAGCCGAGTTTTTCCAGGTTAAGCCTTTTCAGCAGCGATATCGCTCTAGTCTTTACTTCCTTGCTTTTTACAGAGAGTGGTTTAAAATTTCTTTCTAAGGCTTCCTCGGCCTTCTTGAGAAAATCTAGTTCATTAATGATAACGAAGAATCCTTCTTTGTCAGAAATGAGTACCCTTAGCTGATTGTTCAAACAAAACTTAACAACTGGAAGAACGCGCAGTCTTCTACTCACATCGCTAACATTGCTCGAAACTGCTTGAACACATTCTGTTACACACCTATAACGCTCTTCCTCCTTGGCCAGCTTGGAGACAGTCCTTGCTGTGGCAATCTTTTCTTCAGGTCGAAGGGTAGGTTCTACGGAGAACTTCGGGCCTTTTTGCAGAACCTGCTGAATTTTTTCCGGCACAGACACATCACTTAGGTTCAAGAAACGTCCCTCACTTGAAGCTTGTTTTTCTTGGCAGGTAGTTGTGGTCTGATCCAATTCCACAAAGTTTCCGTGACGGATTTCGAAGTTTTGCACCAGTCGCGATACGAATCGCGGTTGTTACGTCTATGAACGTCTTGGTCACACATGACCCTCAGCCGGTCCTTATAACACCGGACTTGTCTGTACCATTCCGAACGAAGGATTCGGCACATCCTTTTGGTATGCCCAACGACGGACTCATCATTCAAAAAAGCATTTGTACCTCTGCCGCACAAGTTCCTTGACGAAGGTGCCACGATGCTACTCTTGCCCGACATGTTGAGACAGCAATCCACGATGCCAAAATGGCAGGGTCTTGAAAAGAGGGACTAAAACAGTTAAAAGAGCCCTGTGTACTAGAAATACATTGCAAAAGGATCAAAATGTGGGCCAGTTGTCATTCATTTTCTTCGTTCAGCGAACTAGGAGCGCAGAGAAAACACAAAGGACGAAGCGAGGAACCACACAACATGAGCGCTCAACTAACACTGATTTATTTTCCACATCGGAAAGGACATATATAAACACAAAATGCGCATGTCAAAAAAGATTATGACGAAATCAAGGGCAGCATGCGAAGCGTGTAATCAAGGCACATGTCTAAGGGTTATCTAGGTAGCTGAATTCACAGTCAAGTAGTGAGAGGGAAGGATGACTTATACATTGGTCCGTAGTCCCTGGAAATGGGATAGGCTTCAGAAATTTCGCGCGTATTTTGATGAGGATGCCGGAACAGAACAATTGTATTCTCAAACAGAGGTTGGCACTTGCACGAAACGCCAATGTGCGCTAAATGGGAGTAAGGTGTACTTTTCAACGAGCTTCTGTGTTCCCTGAGACGCACGTTCACACATCGGCCGGTCTGGCCAATGTACATCCGTCCGCAAGAAAGGGGTATCTTATATACTACTCCGGTGAGGCCACTTAACAAACTTAGTTACGTGCTTCTGGAGGCATCCTCTACCTTTAGATGCATTATGTGCCCTCCTGTGCACCATTGAACATATACTGGCCAATTTATTGGGTGCCGAGAAAACCACGCGCACACCGAACCGGTTTCCCACGTTTTTTAACCCATGGGCCATTTTATGAATGTAGGGGATTACTGCCGCGCGCTTCTTATTCCCTTCCTTGTTCTCTGAAGAAGTACATGTGCGTTTTTCATTATTTTTGACCGTACGCAAGAGCCTTTCACAGACTGAGGCTATTACGTAGGAAGGGTATCCCGCACCTATCAGCCGTTCCAACTGTGCTACGAAACCACTTTGCAAGGTATGCAGGCAACATTTTCCGAGGGCTGAACGTAAGCATGACATTACGATTCCGCGTTTAACAAGCTTGGAATGTCCGGAAGAGTAATCTAGAACGGGTTTTGCAGAACCTGCTGAATTTTTTCCGGCACAGACACATCACTTAGGTTCAAGAAACGTCCCTCACTTGAAGCTTGTTTTTCTTGGCAGGTAGTTGTGGTCTGATCCAATTCCACAAAGTTTCCGTGACGGATTTCGAAGTTTTGCACCAGTCGCGATACGAATCGCGGTTGTTACGTCTATGAACGTCTTGGTCACACATGACCCTCAGCCGGTCCTTATAACACCGGACTTGTCTGTACCATTCCGAACGAAGGATTCGGCACATCCTTTTGGTATGCCCAAACGACGGACTCATCATTCAAAAAAGCATTTGTACCTCTGCCGCACAAGTTCCTTGACGAAGGTGCCACGATGCTACTCTTGCCCGACATGTTGAGACAGCAATCCACGATGCCAAAATGGCAGGGTCTTGAAAAGAGGGACTAAAACAGTTAAAAGAGCCCTGTGTACTAGAAATACATTGCAAAAGGATCAAAATGTGGGCCAGTTGGTCATTCATTTTCTTCGTTCAGCGAACTAGGAGCGCAGAGAAAACACAAAGGACGAAGCGAGGAACCACACAACATGAGCGCTCAACTAACAACTGATTTATTTTCCACATCGGAAGGACATATATAAACACAAAATGCGCATGTCAAAAAAAGATTATGACGAAATCAAGGGCAGCATGCGAAGCGTGTAATCAAGGCACATGTCTAAGGGTTATCTAGGTAGCTGAATTCACAGTCAAGTAGTGAGAGGGAAGGATGACTTATACATTGGTCCGTATTCCTGGAAATGTGATAGGCTTCAGAAATTTCGCGCGTAGTTTGATGAGGATGCCGGAACAGAACAATTGTATTCTCAAACAGAGGTTGGCACTTGCACGAAACGCAATGTGACGCTAAATGGGAGTAAGGTGTACTTTTCAACGAGCTTCTGTGTTCCCTGAGACGCACGTTCACACATCGGCCGGTCTGGCCAATGTACATCCGTCCGCAAGAAAGGGGTATCTTATATACTACTCCGGTGATGCACTTAACAAACTTAGTTACGTGCTTCTGGAGGCATCCTCTACCTTTAGATGCATTATGTGCCCTCCTGTGCACCATTGAACATATACTGGCCAATTTATTGGGTGCCGAGAAAACCACGCGCACACCGAACCGGTTTCCCACGTTTTTTAACCCATGGGCCATTTATGAATGTAGGGATACTGCCGCGCGCTTCTTATTCCCTTCCTTGTTCTCTGAAGAAGTACATGTGCGTTTTTCATTATTTTTGACCGTACGCAAGAGCCTTTCACAGACTGAGGCTATTACGTAGGAAGGGTATCCCGCACCTATCAGCCGTTCCAACTGTGCTACGAAACCACTTTGCAAGGTATGCAGGCAACATTTTCCGAGGGCTGAACGTAAGCATGACATTACGATTCCGCGTTTAACAAGCTTGGAATGTCCGGAAGAGTAATCTAGAACGGGTTTTGCAGAACGAGGATCTTCAGTAGAAAAGGCGAAAGGTGTAGAGCTAGAACTTTTTTACTCCATTAAAACACACAAACCGGAAATGCCGCTGCGCGCGATTGTTTCAGAAAGGGATACGTGGCAGTTGGTTGTATCTCAGTATCTGCAAGCACATCTTTCTGCGTTGCGCGTAAATGACCCTTTTCACGCAAATAACTCTGGTGTCGTGGTTGAATACCTCAACACATGTGAATGCTCCGGTGTTACAGCTTTTAGTCTTGATGTAGTCGACTTATATTATTCTTTGCCGCATGATCAACTGTTAAACAGCGTAGAGCAGTGCATTGTGGAAGACAATGATAAGATATCGTTCAGGAATAGCACGGGAATTTCGACTCAGTCTTTTCTAGAAATTTTGACGTTCTATTTGAAGTCCATCTTCGTCGTATGGCTTGGGAACCTGTACATGCAAAAATCAGGTGTGTGTATAGGTTCAAGTGTGGCCCCTGTTTTAAGCCAAATCTTTCTTGGGAAGGTGGATGCAGCCTTAAGCACTAAACTTCAACCTGGCACAAAAGTATTCCGTTATGTTGACGATTATCTGATTATCATCAAGAAGTGTTCAGCAGTGGACGTTGAAAGTATGAAGGCATGCTTCGAGAAGGAAGGCATGGGCCTCCGGTTCACCTCCGAGCTTCCAAAAGATAACAAATTGCAGTTCCTAGACCTTTCCCTGTTTTTTGGTGATAAGCACCTTTGCTGGCGATATAATCCTCGTTCTGCAAAACCCGTTCTAGACTACTCTTCCGGACATTCCAAGCTTGTTAAACGCGGAATCGTAATGTCATGCTTACGTTCAGCCCTCGGAAAATGTTGCCTGCATACCTGGCAAAGTGGTTTCGTAGCACAGTTGGAACGGCTGATAGGTGCGGGATACCCTTCCTACGCAATAGCCTCAGTCTGTGAAAAGCTCTTGCGTACGGTCAAAATAATAAAAAACGCACATGTACTTCTTCAGAGAACAAGGAAGGGAATAAGAAGCGCGCGGCAGTAATCCCCTACATTCATAAAATGGCCCATGGGTTAAAAAACGTGGGAAACCGGTTCGGTGTGCGCGTGGTTTTCTCGGCACCCAATAAATTGGCCAGTATATGTTCAATGGTGCACAGGAGGGCACATAATGCATCTAAAGGTAGAGGATGCCTCCAGAAGCACGTAACTAAGTTTGTTAAGTGCATCACCGGAGTAGTATATAAGATACCCCTTTCTTGCGGACGGATGTACATTGGCCAGACCGGCCGATGTGTGAACGTGCGTCTCAGGGAACACAGAAGCTCGTTGAAAAGTACACCTTACTCCCATTCAGCGTCACATTGCGTTTCGTGCAAGTGCCAACCTCTGTTTGAGAATACAATTGTTCTGTTCCGGCATCCTCATCAAACTACGCGCGAAATTTCTGAAGCCTATCACATTCCAGGAATACGGACCAATGTATAAGTCATCCTTCCCTCTCACTACTTGACTGTGAATTCAGCTACCTAGATAACCCTTAGACATGTGCCTTGATTACACGCTTCGCATGCTGCCCTTGATTTCTTCATAATCTTTTTTTGACATGCGCATTTTGTGTTTATATATGTCCTTCCGATGTGGAAAATAAATCAGTTGTTAGTTGAGCGCTCGTGTTGTGTGGTTCCTCGCTTCGTCCTTTGTGTTTTCTCTGCGCTCCTAGTTCGCTGAACGAAGAAAATGAATTACCAACTGGCCCACATTTTGATCCTTTTGCGATGCATAATAGATATTCCGATGTGCTGTAGATGATACGATGTGCTGTAGCAGTTTTCTGACCCAGGCTGGATGAATGAACGTCAAAAGAGTTTGCATGCTTTTGCAACAAATCAAGCAGCTGCTGCTTCTGCGAGTCTGTCAAGTCCTTGTTGATGGTTGCTGTGAAGGCCGAGGAAGCAGCACGATCTCCAGGATGGCCTTTAGAGGAGGCAGGGGTAAGAGGCACGACGCACACAGGCTCCAGATCGGCAACGCAGGCGACAGTATTGCCACGCGGCAGTAAAATTTTATCTGGTGTGGTGTTCGTAGCAGCGAGGACAGCTGATGTATTGTTGAAGCAAGCCACACCTGATGCGAGAGCTATGCCTTTATTAAGACAACGGGACGATGGATTGACCAAAATGTCACCAGAGTCGACGTCGTTGGACAAAACTGTGACTGATTGATGTTCATTGGGGGGTAACTCGATGTCTACAGCAGCGATGAGTCAAAGTGGCCCGTAGGTTTCGTCACTAAGCAAGTGGTCTGTGTCAGTAAGATGGGCGACACGTTGTGCATAACAAATAGTGGCCGAAGCAGATGAAAGAAAGTTCCAGTCTAAAATGAGTTCGTGGGAGCACGGGGATAGCACAGCGAATTTTATATGATGAAGAATGTCGTCGATTAGCACATGGGCAGTACAGAGAGCGGAAAGGCGAATCATTGTTCCCGGGCCTGTAACCAGTGTTGGTCCATCATAAGGCGTCATGACTTTTCGAAGATGGGTACACAAATCAGCACGAATAATAGAAAACCCAGCCCCAGTGTCCACCAAAGCATCAACGTCCACTCCCTCAACTGAGACTGCAATCATATTGTTAGGGCGCGTTGGAAGAATTGGAGTACTGTGTTGAAATGCAGTTTGTCCTCCAAAAACTGCATCGCTTAGTTTTCCGGACGCTGATGAGAAGCGAGGGAAGCAAGCTGAAGAGGAGAAGAGGAGCGACGGTAGGGCGATGGTGAACGGCGTCTGGTTGATCGATGACTACTGCACAGTTCACCGGATGCTGGCAGAGATGGAGACCGATGCGGCGGTGACGAATAACGACGGTCCTGGTACAAGGCTCCTGCGGTATAGTCTCGTTAGCGTATGTCGTACCCTCGGCGCTCATCTTGCTGGCGCTTGCGGCAAAAGCGTTAAGTGTGACCACGATAGCCGCAATAATAGCACGTAGGGCGAGTCGATCGATAACGAGGGTAGTAGCTTGTGTTAGATGCACCGGGAGAGAGAGCAGTGAGAGGGACAGATGATGGCTCAGGCGGTGGTGATGGAAAGCTCGTGGGAAAGCTTCTGGGAGGTGCGGCAGCAACCGACGCGTACGTTGGTGGCGGCGACGTCGAGCTGACGGTGCCTGATGGTGCGGCGACGGCGTGAGAGAATGATGGGAGAGTACAAGCGACAGTGGGCTGCAGGTGGGCCATGCGGGTGATAGGACGTGATGACATCCCGCATTGACGTTGAAGAAGACTGAATGGGACACACTGAAGGTAGTGTGAATCCCATTGATTCTAATTCTTCGCGTAAAATTACCCTTATTGTGTCTGGTAGGCTTGGATCCGCCGTAGCAGGGGCCGCGTCCCTGTCCGGTTGTAGGCGCATAGACTCAAATTCTTCGCGGCGCTGACAGGTTGTCGCAACGTCGGCAACGATAGCCGGATTCTGGATTGCAAGGGCATTGAATGCAACGGGTGCACTTCCCTTAAGAAGCTGGCGTACTTGTCTGACTCTGTCATTGTGGTTTCAACCCGGCCGCAAAGTGAAAAGACAACCTCGATGTAGGAAGTATACGACTCCCAGATGTGCTGTTT